GACCACAACAGTCACCCAGGTGGAGACTCTCTGTTCAACCACAGGGAGCACACACCAGAAGACCAGAGAGAAAATGGAAACCAAGGAACAAAACACCCATCCAGCAAAGACAAACCTAGAAATCAGCACCTAGACCTATAACCACTAAACCAAACGCCTGAACACCAGGGTAAGACACAGTTAACACCAAGGCAATATGTCACCACCAGAGCCCAGCTACCCTACTACATCAAGCCCCAACTTTCAACACAGCAGAATGACCTTAAAAGCAAAGTTATGAAGATAAAGGTTCCTAAAGAAGAAATCAATAAATCCCCTAAGAAATCAAAGAAAAGACAAACAACATATTGGAGGAAATAAATAAATCCCTTAAAGAAATGCAAGAAAGTCAAGAAATACAAACAGTTGAAAGAAACAAATAACACTTCAAGACCTGAAAATGAAAAGAGAAACAATAAAGGAAACACAAACCGAGAAATTCTGGAAATAAAAAATTTAGGTAAGCAAAGAGGAACTATAGACACAAGCATCACCAAAAGAATACAAGAGACAGAAGAGGGAATCACAGACATTGAAGATTATGATAAAAGAAATAGATGCTTTGGCTAAAAAATATGTTAAATCTTCTTTCAAAGCATTTTTTAAATTAACATGTTTTATGAGAGATGTCATTGTTCATAGGAAGCAGTAGGGAGAAAGGTGATGCAAACATTTCCTTTACTGAAGGCAAGCAGAGAACATTTTGAGAGAAACTATACAAGACGAGGCCCATCATTATCAAGCTGGTGGGAGGAGCCCAGTAAGGGCATGAGGTTCCACCTCTCTCTACGTATTTAGAAGTAGTTGATGGGGAAGGCGGAGACTGTTCTTGAGCATAGAATATATATGTAAAAAAACCTCTCATCCAACACCCTGCAAGAACTCTAGTAAAATGAAACAGGTTATAGGAAAAACACACACACACACACACACACACACACACACACACACAAAAAAAAAAAAAAAAACAAAAAACAAAGACAAAAAAAACCCCATAAATATAGGAAGGCTAGCTCATAAGAAGAACAGGATCAGCAAAAATGGGAGAAAAACAGGAGTGGGTAATGGGGTGAATATGATAAAAATACATTATATACATGCATGAAATGTCATAATGAATCCCATTATAATGCATAATTAATACTTACAAGAGGGAAAGATACAGTTATATAAACATGAATTATGACCTGTAAAATATTTACTTACTAATATCTAGTTAATTGCATGTTTATAATCAATAATATAAACATCAGCAAAACTCTATTAATATAGATTATTACTAATTTATCATGATTAATAAAAAACTTACAATAATTTTGATTCTTAACAGCTTTTATTAACAGCATGTGTATTAAATTTGTGTATGGTGTATAATGTATGCGTGTGTTATTTAATTTTCAATTTGTGGTGGTTTGAGTGAAAACGGCACCCATAGGCCAATAGGGAATGGCACTGTTAGAAGGTGTGGCCTTGTTGGCGTAGGCACTACTTTGTTTTAGGAAGCGGTCACTGGGGGCAGGCTTTGAGCTCTCAGATCTTCAAACCATTCCCAGTGTGTCAGTCTCTTCTTGCTGCCTGTAGATCAAGATCTCTCAGCTCCTTCTCGAGCACCATGTCTGCCTGCTTGCCACTTAGTGATAATGGACTAAACTTTTGAACTGTAAGCCAGTTAAATGTTTCCTTTTATCAGAGTTGCCCTGGTCATGGTGTCTCTTCACAGAAATAGATCTTAACTAAGACAGAAGTTAGTACTGGAAGTGGGGTATTGCTGTGATAGGCTAGACCATGTTTTTGCTTGGGAGAATGTGGACTTTGGAACTTTGGGTCAGAAAATCAGTGAAATGTTTCAAGCATGACTTAATGGGCCATACTATTAGGAGGATGGAAGATAGTGGTGCTGACAGTGATTTTTGAACTGTTGTGGCCTAGATTAAGAGGTTCAGAGGAGAAGAACTTTAGTATGTGGCCTAGAGACTGTTCTTGTGATATTGTGGCAAAGAATGTAGCTGCTTTTTGCCCTTGGCTGAAAAGTCTGCATGAGGCTAAACTGAAAAGTTTTGGATTAATTGCATTGGCAGAGAAAACCTCAAAATAGCCTAGTATTGACTCTGTTGTTTAATTATTAGTATTCACTCTTATGAAAATCCAGAATGAAAAGAAGAAAGCTAAACAAGAAAAAATACAAAACGTACAATTTGAGAAGGAAAAGGGCACCAGGAAGTGGAATAGAGCTAAGTCCTCTATTCAAGGAGATAAATGGGCTAAAGAAAAGCCTGATATTAAGTGGAATAAAGGGAATAATGGCCTCAGGGTTTAGACCCCACCCAGCAAAGTTTCCTTTGTGAAAAAGAAGTGAAGAAAAGCTTAGAACCAGGTACGGTGGTACATGCCTTTAATTCCAGCACTCAAGAGTCAGAGGCAGGCAGATCTCTGAGCTTGAGGCTGGCCTGGTCTACAGATAGAGTTTCAGGACAGCCAAGCTTAGGCAGTGAAGAAAACCACTGAAAACTGAAAGGTGGTGAAGATATAACTTAACAAGTGGGCCATATTCCAGCTCCAGCAAGCAGTGGAACTTGGCAGCTTCAGGCACATGGTTCTGGCTTTAGAGTCAAGAATAGGTGAAAGGTGTTATGGAATTTCCCTTTATGACTAAGGAAAGCTACTGAGGCCAGGCATCTGTCAGGGTGTCCCTTCATGAAGGCCTAGAGAGGCCATTATATGAAGCCTGTATTTCCTTGGAGACCCCAAAATGCTGGAGATACCATACCTGTGTTATATCTGCCAAGGAATGCTGCTAATGGGAAGTGGAAGCATTCCAGGAGAAAGAAGTATGTTGAGTTAAACAAAGCTGAAAGGAGTTAGAGATCTGGAGAATGCTTTGACATTAGTCATGAAGATACAGAGTTTGGAGCTTGTCCAGCTGGGTTTTGGTCTTGCTTTGGTCCAGTATTTTTTCACTAGGCTCCCTTTTTTTTTTTGGAATTTTAATTTTAATGGAATATAATATGCCATTATATGTTGTTAGGCTCTTTTTTTTCCTTTTTGGAATTTTAATGTATATCCTGTGCCATTATATGTTTTAAGTGTGTGATTTGATTTTTCATTTTTATTTCACAGGGGATTACAGTTAAGAGATTGTATGAGTCTCAGAAGAGAGTTTGAACTTTGGATTTTTGATCAGTGCTGGTATTGTGATAGACTATGGGGACTTTTGAAGTTGGACTAAATGCATCTTGCATTATACTGTGGCTACAGGCCTATGGGGGCCATGGAGTGGAATGTGGTGGCTTGAATAAAAATGTCCCCTATAAGCCCTTAAGAGTGGCACTATTAGGAAGTGTGGCCTTGTTGGAGTAGGTACAGCCTTGGAGGAAGTAGCCACTGGGGTCAGGCTTTTAGGTCTCAGATGCTCAAGCCATGCACAGTGTGGCAGTCTCTTTCTGCTGCCTGCAGATCAAGATGTAGAACTCTCAGCTCCTTCTCCAGCACCATGTCTGCCTGCATGCCGCCATGCTTCCCGCCATGATGGTAATGGACTAAACCTCTGAAACTGTAGACCAGTCTAACTAAGACACCATCACCATAATGAAATGTTTGAAATGGGTCATTTGTGAAGGAAATGGAGTTTTCTTTTGGCATACTTGTCTGGAGCATGAGGTCAAAGATTGGTCAGCCCCATGGTTTGAGTGCTGGGAAGATGGCACACCATGACATAAGCCAAGAAACCATAGGAGACTGAAACACCTCAGAGTCCTTCCAAGCCAGTGAAGCCAAGGTCCTTTCAAGAGGGCTTGCCTCTTTAAGTCCAACTTCCTCCCCAGGGACCAAATTTTTACATATGAAATTTTAGTGAAAACTCATCCAACCCACATAAATTTAAAATATTTCAAAAATTCCACTTGTCTGTGAAAGGAAGAGCACAAAGGAAAATTTCCTGTCTATTGAAATAATAGGAAGCTTTTCTGAGACCAAAAATATTGTGCAGCACATAGGAAGTCTGGCTCGTGAAGGGTGGGGATTACCAAGTCTTATGGGTAGCACTTCTGCCTCCTGACGCAACTTTAAGACAGCTGATGCTAATGTGACTTGAAGCGTCTTTAGGAGAGATGCTAATCATCAAACTCACATTCCAGAGGATCACTGAATTCTAATGCCTAACTGAAATTGCTTCTTCTGACACTAAAATCTGTTCCTGCTCGAAAACTTCCAAATAAATAGAAAATAGAATTAAGCGAGTCTGTAGAAGTTGTGTGTCACTGTAAGAAACCAAACTGACTTGCGAGGCAGTGTGAGGCTGGTCTATGAAACAATCCAGTGGTTAACATCTCGATAAAGGGTATCAGAGTCCACACAGTGAGTGTCCAGGAGCTGGTAAAGAAGGAGGAAGAAGAAAAAAAAAGACAAGAAAAATGTGTCATTGCTAACTGGTAAATGTGCAACAGTGTGTACTCAGCTGTGTTGTGTGTGGAGAGAGTTCGGAACCCCTCAGTCTCCTGTCAGTTAACAAATGTGCACTTGATACAGACCAAAAAAAAAAAAAAATCAAATTAAAAATCCATCAGAATTTAGAACACAGTGCTGAGCCACACAGTTCCAAAGGAAAATTCGGACTAAGTTAGCCCTTGAAGAAAGTAAGGCATTTACCTACCAAAATAAGACAAGATTTTTTTTTAAGGCCTCTCAGTCATTTCTCTTGATGTTTACCATCTACCTCACCATTTCCTCTTTTTGTGGTCTGGAGGGAGAAGTGACATTCGTCCAATAAACTCCCTGTCCTTGTGCAAGAAAGGAAATTCTGACTTGATTGCCCAGCTGCAGACGCGTTAACATACGGCGGTATCCGGGTCTATTGGGGTCGAACTTTTAAAAACGGGCGAAGAATCCCCCTTTTGAGAGTTACTTTCCAGGAGCTCTTACTAAGCTGAGGAGAGAAGGAAAAGGAAGAAAGGGAAAGAAGAAGAATGAATTCAACCCAATCTCCCGCATCCCACCACACAGGTACAAAGCTTCCTTTGCTTGCATGGCTCTCTTATTAGAACAGGTAAGAGGTTTGTTAAGGGCCAGGGCAATAGAAAAGTTCACAGTGAGATGGAAAGAATAGGGAAGAGAAGAAAGGTCATCAGGATTAGCAGAAAGCTTGTGGTGGAGTTGGAGAAGGCTACCCTTTGACTGTTTCTACCTTTGCGATACTCTCAATGTCTTTGAGCAAGTCCTTCACTGCTGTGGAATTTACTCTAACTGTCTGTGAAATGTATCCTGGGGAGAAGAAAGTACCTACTAAATGACTGCCCATATTTTACTTAATTTACAAAAATCTTGAAAATGAAATGCTGAGAGGAGGACAACAGGAGAGAGACTAAAACAGCAAAAGGGGAAACGGGGTAAAACGAAAGGAAAAGAAAGGAATCCACTGTGTATTCTATCTTTCTTCCTACAGAGAAAAGATGCTTCAAAAATTCCCAAGCGCTCCCATGGACTGTGGCTGGGGCCTCGATCCTGTTTCTCGGTGTCTGTTTCATCACCAGATGTGTTGGTGGGTTCTGAAGGTCAAATTCACTCTCGTTCTCCATGGCAAACACTACCAGTAGATTCCTGCTTGGTGCATCACTCGTTTAACAAAGAGTTTTGTTTTGGTTTTTTTTTTTTTTTTTTTACAAAGTTTTGTAAATGCTGCATTTTATTATTCTTGACTGCTTTTTGTTGTTTAACAGTTTCATACATGTAAATAATGTATTCTGATTAGTCATTCTCTCATGCCCTCTCTTATGTCCCTCCCTTCACTATCAATCCCCACCCAGTCCCTCTCCCAGTTTCCTGACTTTTGGTTTGGTTTTGTGACCCATTTACTTTAACATGGGCCGTGTGTGTGATCACTGAAGGAGGGTGTCCATTGGAGGCTGATGGGGTCTTCAATGAGTACACAGTTGAAGGGAACAATTTCCCCACTTCCTGAATCTATCAGTGGGAAATAGTCCAATAGGGGGTGGGGCCTCCTGAGGCCGTCCTCCAGCCATGCCTGGGGATGATTGGGTCCATTCTTTGGCAAACCCAGTGAAGCCATCTGAAGCTACTATTGGTTTGTGATCGTGATAGCTGTGTTATGTCCAGAAGATGATGTTTTACAGCCGTTCTCCTTATCTTCTGGCTCTTATATCCTTTCCCTCTTCTGCAGCGTACTCTGGGTTGTGAATGTCTTGTTTAGAGCTGAGCACCCATCCATCATTTATTCTCAGCACCTCGTATGGCCCTGCACTTCTGCGTCCTCCGCCACTCACCGGAGGGAGGGGCTCCTGTGATGGAGACTGAGTTGTGTTTGTCTATCTGCGAATATAAACACAAACATCTCAGTGGCAACTTGACACTGTATTAGTTCAGCTCATTGGTTTTCAACCTTTGTAACGCTGCCACCCTTTAATACAGTTTCTCATGTTATAGTGACTCTTAACCATAACATTATTTTACCGCTCCTTCATGACTGTGATTTTGCTACTGCTATGAATAGTAATGTAGAGATCTGATGTTCAGGATATCTGCTATGCAACCACCCCAGAGGGATCGAGACCCACAGGTCGAGAACCACTGATTAGTGGCCCAGCAGTATACATAGGATCAGTTGTGGTCTATGATGCTCCCTGCAACGGGTTTTTGACTACATTTAGAGTTTACTTCACTTTCCTCCCTATTCATCGGCAGTCTGCCAGCTATTTCCTAGGCCAGAAACTCAACTAGTCGAAACATGACTGAATTTCAGTCATCTCTACTTATTTTATTTTATTTTATCTTATTTTTTGCAATGCATGTCTTCCATTATCTTGGTGCTCTTGAATTCTTCTCTTCAGACCCCTATCATTAGGTCATCCTTCTCTATGAAATGTTACCCAGCAGATTAGATACCGGGTCAGGACCAAAGGCACAGCAATCTGCTTTGTGGATGGAAGGGTTAGGTGCTTACACTTGGCTCAGAAGGGACTGCAAACAAATTTTTAATCTGAAATAAGGTTTATTCTTTTTAAGTCAGGAAAGCCATGAGATGTGAATTACTCTTTCTTTGAAGAAGTGGATACCAGCGAGGAGAGGAAAATAGGTGATCACTGTCAGCCATCTTGCTATGAGCACGATCTGGAGGCCAAGGGTTTCATTGCTAAAAAGGACATTTAGCATTAACCGTGTTCCCTTCCTCCTACAGTAACGTACCGTATCTTTCAAATTTATGGGGAGAAAGAGTTACAGACACATGAAACTATTAAGGAGCTCTCCTGCTACAGCGAAGCATCAGGTATAATTGTGTGCAAAGTATATATATATATATATTATATATAAAGTCATATATTAAAGAATATATGACCTTTTTTTTTTAAGCTTCTAGATTGTTTTTAGAATAAGAAAACTATAGTGGGATTTTTTTCCCAAAAGGAATGACAAATCCTATCTGTGCACAGAGTGAGAAAACATTGATAAGAGCAGAGGAGCAAAACTCAGGAAGTGAGGTAGCTTTGGGCCAGAAATCTCTGAGGCATTACAGTAAACTCTGAGGACAAATTTCAACTATATATCTAAATGGGAAGTCTAAAAACGAAAGGATTTATTCCCAGGAGTGGAAGTTTTTCTTCGTTTATCTGCTTCCCAAATGAGGTTGGGGAGAAAAGCATGTGCAGAGAATTTTAAAATACCTAAGAAAAAAATACTCAGATATTCTTCTGTATCAGCAAAACGCTAATGAACGTCGGCAAAGTACATTACTTCCTTGAGGTACAGTTTTCTTGTCATTTAATTAAGAAAGATTTTGTTGAATTAATTTCAACGACTTGAAATTCTGGTCCAGAGGGTTGGTGAGAGTGTCATTAAAGGCGGCTTAGCCTTAGAGTCACCTAGTAATAACTCAAGACTGACCTTTCTTAGCCTAAGCACAGAGACTTGAGGTCTCTGGCAGGACTACATGACTAAGGTAAACTGCACATATCGCTGTATTTGCTCGTCCTGCCATCTAAAATATCAAGATTGTGCTCCACAGACAAAATTGCTGTTAATTGGCATCGGAATTACCTAACAGTCTTACAGAACAAGATGAGGGGTACAGGAAGATTCTAGGTCCGTGTTAGACTTCACAGGATCACTGGCAATGTTCCCCAGCATTCACTGAAGCCTCTCTCCTCTCAGGTTCGGTGAAGACTTGCTGTCCTTTGAACTGGAAACATTTTCAATCTAGCTGTTACTTTTTCTCCACGACCACCCTGGTCTGGCCTTCCAGTTTAAGGAACTGCTCAGACATGGGGGCTCACCTGGTGGTTATCAACACATTGGAAGAGCAGGTAACTGGCTAAAGGGCTCCTCAGTGCTGACGCCATGTTCTTCACAGATATGTTTGCCCAGACCTGTGCACAAGGTCTGAGCCACAACTGTTGCCAAAGGTGAGGGCTGAAATGTGCTGCTGCCACTATTTCATAGCCGAGTGACTTTCAGTCTCAGAGTTACTAGAACCTTTAAAAAGCTGATGTCCATGAGGAGTTCTGATATTAAGTGGAATTGGGGGAGGGTTAAGAAGCTAACTCTAGAATAATATTTTGTTGATGAATACTTTGTTTGAACGAGGGCAAACCACTATCTTCAGGCTCTGAATAATTTCTCATGATAAATCGTAAACATCGTAAACAAACTTTGAGAATCCCTAAGAATCTCCTCTTATGAGTTATGAAGTTTTCATTGGTTGAATTTTGTTACTTACAGTTTTTCACAATAAAAAAATTGCTTGGTAGCCTTCAACAATTTTACAGTTTTAAGCTTATCTATTGAGTCTTGTCTCAGTTCTGCCTAACCTCTTCTAAAAACTACTTTCAACATTCCTTCAGAACCAAATAGTTGATCTCATCTAATAATAATAATAATAATAATAATAATAATAATAATAATAATAATAATTTATGTATATTCCTTAGGAATTCCTTTTTCGCACAAAACCTAAAAAGAAAGAGTTTTATATTGGACTGACCGACCAGGTAGTAGAGGGACAGTGGCGATGGGTAGACGACACACCTTTCACGGAGTCCCTGAGGTAAGTACTGCCTTTGAGGGAAAATTGTCACATCAGATAATCCTGAAGTGAGGTCACATGGAGGGGAATTCTCAGACTGGCTTTTGTTGCAATGACGCAAGTCTAGGCCCATCACTAGTTACACTAGATGCAGGAAGAAGGAAATGGGAGGTTATCACTGATGATATTGGATGCAGGAAGCAGGAGGTACAGGCTCTTAGCATTTCCATTCCCGAGGGTTGCCAAAAGAATGAAAGAGAAATAACAGATGAAAATGCTAAGGCAATAAGAACGGAAGAACCATTGACTTACAATGCAGATTTAAAAAAGAGTGAAATCTAATCTTATGCCCTAAGATAGAAATAAGTGAAAATTAGTAATTTGGAAAAATGATAGAGAATATTCTTATGATCCTGGTCCCTTTCCCCAGTGTCATTAGAATACCACATTTTACAGTTAGTGGTTGGTTTCCATTGTTTCAGTCTATTGAAATTACTCATTTCTGAGACATGTTATTAATCTTTATCCAGCATTTGAGGAAACTACATGTCAAAGGGATGGAGTGGCTCACTCAGCTAATAGGCAGCAGTTGTGAACGCAGGGCTTGGCTGCTCTGAGTCCTGAGAAGATCTGCTTTGCAGGAAGCAGAACTCTGCTTTGCACAGACTCTAGCAGAACAAAGAGAGTGAGAGGGTCATGAGGTAGAAGGGTAGAGCCTGCCAGGCCAGGAGTTCTTAAAGTGACCTCTCTTCCTGGGTTCAAATTCACGGAGCTGTGTAACAGCATAGAAATCCAGGAAGATCCCACCAGCTGATGGCATAGGCAAGTGGGTTTTCTCTGTTGATAAAAATGGAGATAGCACTCCCCACCTCACAAATGATAGTCAAACATCAAACAGTAAGCTGTTTAGTGTGCTACCTTTTCTGAAACTTAAAATCTCCTATGTTTCCCCTCTACAGCTTCTGGGATGCTGGGGAGCCCAACAACATAGTTTTGGTGGAGGACTGTGCCACCATGAGGGACTCTTCAAATCCCAGGAAGAACTGGAATGATATTCCCTGTTTCTACAGCATGCCGTGGATTTGTGAAATGCCAGCGATAAGTCCTTTGCGCTAAGTGCAAGGGAACACAGGAGACATGGTTTAAAGGCATGAGGAGGAACAAGAGTATGACAACACCCAACATCCAACATGAGGAAACATCCGTTATGTATCATAACGGCCACATATGTTTGTGTTACTCTAATATAAGTAAAAGTGAGTTGTTCCCATTGTTAAAAATCCAGGGTACTGACTGATGTTCTTGCCATAAGTTCTCTTCTCAGAACTTACAAAGCGATTCACTGATAAATGCAGCGAGAGGGAAGGGGTTCTCCTTTTGACATCTGTCTTGCTAATGAGAAGACAGGTGTGAAAGGACAGTGCAGAGCAAATACACAGTCCAGAAAAGAAGAGGTCTATAGGAAGAGACTTTGGATGGACACCAGGCCATCCTCTTCCTTCTACATCCTAGGGTCTAGCTTATCTCCTCATGCTGTCGACACCTGGATCACTTTTGTGTTTTCCAGAAGTGAGGAAGACACATCTTTGAGTCTTAGAACTTACTGCTGCTCAAGAGAATGGCATAGCCTTCAGAGCATCTCCATAGGGAAAAGCCAGTCAGACTTCAGCTCCTAACAGACTGGGTCTTGTCCACATTTCCCTGAACCCCTATTTTCTCTGCATTCTCTTCTGTCAACTGGATATCAACTGCATTTGTATCTACTGCTCAAACATAGCCGGAGTTCAAAGTGAAAACATCCTTTAAAAATTCAGTTTGACATTTTTCTGACTCAAGATTTTGCATTTATTGAATGATATTCTCCCAGTACAGACCATGTTCCTTCCAATTGGAGTCATAAAGAGACCTTCAGCAGCATTCACACATTGGAAAAAAAATATGTATCCTTGAGTAGGAAAATTAAACTAAACAAATCAAGTTGATATAGTAGCATTTTTATAAGCATGTCTACTAGGCATTTTAACAATCTGATTTTGAAATTGATACATTCTTTTAAACATGAAGTCATTTAGACCAAAAGAAATCCTAAAACCATACGTTTGACTTTCTAACTCATTTTTTTATGCTTTTGAAAATTTTATGAATGTATGTAATTGGCTTTTAACAAAACCATCCTCATCCTCTCCACTACAACCTGCCGCTGTCCACCTCACTACTTCTCCTCCACATTTCGTGTGCTTGGTTTTTTTTTTTTGTTTTGTTTTGTTTTGTTTGTTTGTTTGTTTTTAACCCCTTTGTCCGCTCAGGGCTGCTTTTACGCCTTTGGGTATAAGACCTTCTCCTGGAGCGTCGGTAGCCTCTTGGGAACCACATCTCAACACTCCACCTGCCCAGCAGCCAACAATTGCCAATTGCCAATCCTCAGCTGGTGATGGGATTTCATGAGCTCCATGCCACCCACGTGGGGATGTGGGATGTTTTATACTGCCTTTATCATGTTGAGATGTGTCCCTCATGTCCCTAGAATTTTCAGGAGTTTAATGACAAAGAAATTCTGAATTCTGTCAAAGGGCAATGACCGTGGGTTCTGGGATTTCTGTCCTTGAGTCTGTTTTGGTGGTTGATTACACCCAGGAACATGTTGTAACATCCCTGCATCTCTGAGATGAAGCTGCTCTGATCATGGTGGCTGCTGCTCTATTGTGCTTTTTTCTATTGCTGTGCTAAAATATTGATGAAAACTAACTGAGACCAGGAAAGGTTTATTGTTTCTTAAAATAAGTTATTTATTTGGAATTATCCAATAGAACCTTTGAAAATATAGTGTTTTGTAGGTGAGGCTACAGAAAAACTTAACAGCTTTAGCCACAAAAATAGAGTAATAAAACATTCATATTCTCAATGACATTTTCCCTAAATAAGCCACCAGCAGGATTTAAATACACCATTTATGGCCTAAATAATTTTAAAGAACAGTCACTTTACTATACTGTTTTTAGTAAAAGTTATACATGTTCATTATGCAATTTCTCTATGGGAAACAAAGATGTATGGATGAAAACATTCTCCAGTTAGATAAATACTTAGCATGAACATTAAACATCATGGGTGACTTCTCCTCCATACAGGAAGTGCTACTTCACAATATGGCACCTTGGAAAATCAGAAAGTAGCAAAAGCAGGATAGTCAGGCCTGCCTCCTACCTGCCTTTCTTCCCTAAAAGGAGACATAATGCTGAGCTCCGCTCCTCCTCCCTCAAGACCATCAGGTTACAAGGCTTCTCTCACTATGAGAAGATTCTGCACAGGCCTTGTAAGTTCCCCTGACTTTATTAGCCATAGATTGTGCTTTATTTCTTAAGTTGCACACTTCCTCCCCAGGATTATTCACCTCTTTTTCAGACTTATCATAAAATAGATTTCCATTTCTTTATTTCTGAATAACCTTGTATCCTGTGAAACTAAATATATATGTGTGTGTGTCTTTTTCTTGTAATCTATACTTTTAGATACATGCCCTCAGATAATGTATCCTTACATGGAAGTAATTATATGAAAATTAGTATCATAATGGAAACAAACAAACCATAAATCAAGGCATTTTTTTTTCAAATATTAGTAAGTAAACCACGTAGGGCTGTTACAGCAGAGCAGGGAAAATCCTGATACAGGTTTCAAATGTTACCTGATGATACTCTAACCTTTGGAGGATTGCAATCTGTTCTCAAGGATCCATCCGTGGACTCTGCATCTGGTGATAAAAAATATTGGTTTCCCTCACCTACGAACAACATTGAGCATTAGATGTAAATGATGGGGAAACGAGATGCAAAAAAAGGGTTTGTAGGGGCCAGGTGTATAAATGCACATCTTTAGTGCCAGCCTTGAAATTCTGCTTAATTGCTCCTGTAGCAGTTTGCAAGTTTCAGGTCTTAAGTTGAGGTCTCTGATTTATTTGGAATTGATTTTTTGCAGAGTGAGAGGTATGTATCTAGTTTCATTCGTCTACACACGGATACCCAGTTTTCTCAGCATCACTTGTTAAACAGGCCACATTTTCTCCAATATGCATTGTTTTTGTATCTGCCAAAAATCAGGTGGCTGTAGCTCTGTGGTTCATATTTGGATCTTCTGTTATGTTCCATTGATTTCCAGTGCCATGGTATTTTTGTGACTATGGCTCTATAATATATCTTGAAATCAGAATAGAAACTTTCAAGATAAATTACCTTTTATCTCATAAGGAATAAGAAATAATTTATTATAGGTCAAATATGAGTGACTGTAGCCCAGGACCATGAATTCAAGTTGCCTTCAACGCATTTCTATATGGAAATGATTATATGAACTTTTGCAGTAACATAACAAAAACAAGACATAAATTCAGGCATTTTTTCAATATATTGGTAGGAAAACCACGTAGACCTGTCAGAGCAAAGGATGGGGAACCCAGGGACAGGTTTCAGATGTTATCTGGTGACACTCTTAGCTCTGGAGACGTTAGAAGCCAGTATTTCGTTAATAAGTTTTTACCTGGTTGTTGAGATGATATGTAGTCAGGCTTAGGGATGAGCCATGCATGGCTAATAAGACTAAAGATATCCTGTGTATATTTGGCTCTAGATCTGCGGCATATCAACCACTCCACAATCAGGAAGTTCAAATTATTTTGCCAGCTTTGTAGAATCTTTTAATATAGATATGTCTTATTCACGTGATGTATGGATGTATACAGCTCTTGCAGAGTACCCTAATTCAATTCCGAGCACCCACCCTGAGCAGCTCACACCTGCGTGTACTCCAGATCCTGGGGATCCAACACCTCTGGCCTCCTCAGGCAACTACACTCATGTGCACATATCCACACACAGGCACATGCGTATTCATATTTTAAAATAAAAATAAACCTTTCTATCTCCCCCTTCTTCCATAAGGTTCCCTGCTCTCTGCCCAAAGTTTGGCTATGAGTCTCAGCATCTCCTTCACTACCCTGATCGGTAGAGTCTTTCAGAGCTCCCCCTCCCCCCACCGAGGAAGGCTCCTGTCCTGTTCCCTGTCTTAGGAAGATGAAGCATCCCTGATGAGACCTGATAGGCTAGGGTCAGATAGAAGGGTAGGAGGTCCACCTCTATCAGTGGACTAGGGAGGGATATGGGAGGAGAAGAAGGAGGGTGGGGGAACTGGGAGGAGATGAGGGAGGAGGCTACAGCCAGGATACAAGGTGAATAAATAGTAATAAAGAAAAAATAAAAATAAGCCTACACCCTTAGACCTAGCTCTGGAGGCAAAGGTAACCCCGGGCTTAACCTAATGGGTCTTCCAAACACACCACAGCACCCCTGTACTCCCAGGTGTAGGTCCAGGAAGCACAGCTTGCATGCAAACCCAGAACCAAGCCTGATCATGCCATCTTCAAACTTCCAATAGAGTTTTATTACCCTAGCCCTGTTTATAAAACTCCTATACCAGTCCAGCCTGAGACAGGCTAGAACCTAGCAGTGGACACACAACCAGGGAAAGAAATCCATGCTCAGGTGACATCACAAAAATAAAAGCAATGTGAATGGCCAGGGCACTATGAACCCTCTCCAACCCACTAGACCTATGGAAATGCTCTCAAATAAAGTCACTGAACCTTCAGAAGCAGAATATAAAAAAAATTATAAGTCTCATTAAACAACTCAGGGAATTTAATGACGAAATGAACAAAGAGCTCAATAATCTTAAAGGTGATAGGAATAAATGCTTGAGTTATGTCCAAAGACACACAATGTCCAATTGAATCAAATGATAAACTCAATTTCAATTTGAATACTGAATTCAGGAAAAAGATGGAATTATTGAAAAGAACTCAAAGTTAACTGAAGACGGAATTGAAAAACCCAGCAATTCAATTAGTAAACTTGTAGTAAAGCCTTATATGTAAAATGGATAAAGATGAAAACAGAATATCAGGACATGAAGGTAAACTAGAGGAACTGGACCACTCCAGCCAATAATGGGGAGAAAATTTAAATACACAAAAGAAATATAGAAGAATTATGAGACATGAAACAACAAAATCTTCAAATTATAGGCACAGACAAAGGAGAATAATCCCAGTTCAATAGCATAGA